TTTTTTTTTTTTAAGCTTTCATGCTGTTGTTTTATTTCCAGATTGATTCTGTAAACTAAATGTTGTCCTGGAGCTTAGTAGAAAATTAGCTCTCTCTGGATAGTATTCTGAATTCCCAGGTCAGGAGTTTTCCTTATTTAGAGCTTGATTCATACAAATTAACATGCCATTGAAAGATTCTTTCACTTCACTCAAATACAAATTTAGAATTCCCCATTTTATACTCAAATAATGTAAAAAATAGGTAAATTGTGTGCTTGTGAATTTTTTTCTGGAGATAGGCGTCTTCTATTAAAAACAGAACAAGTGTGGCCTGGGCAATTATATATAGATTGCATTTATCTTGCACCTTTGACCCGCTCACTGTACTCTGGCCTTTAATCCATCTCTGCCAGGACTAACTCTAAAATTCCCCCCCCCCCCTCCGCCACGCCCCACGCCCAAGAAGCTGCCTTTAAAAAAGAAAACAAAAATGCCACAAAAATGTTTCCTTCTTTCGTCTTAACTGAGAAATTTCTATTCTTCCCCCATCCCCTTGAAAAAAAATTACATTTGCCTGAGTCAAAAAAAATGGTGATATTTAGTCCAAGACCAGTTACAGATTTAAGATCTGAAGTCTCATAACTTTGCAGAGCTAGAAATAGGAGCTCTCTACCAATGACTATGGCAAATTCAAGGCTACACAGCACTCATTTTTAGACCAAAAAAGTCCAGAGATACTGGAATTTTAGAGATTTTTGTGTATAGAAATGCAATTTTAGGCCATTTTTAGAAGCTTTTCAAACAGATTAGTTGTAATTGTATCTGTCTGTAAACTGAACACAAGTTCCTAAGGGGGCCAGTTTTTGCAGATGGCAGGATACAAAAAAAAAAAGTCCAAATATTTGTTTTAAATCTCTCTAAAACATTTATGAACTCGTATGACTGTAAAATATGTAGCATATTGGTGCACAGTGGTATAAATGTTTTATTGGCATCCATTTACGTTGATTTGCATAACTCACAAGTAGCTTCATCAGCCATGAATAATACAGATCATCTCAAATAAGTCCCAGTAAAAGTGCTTAGCGTTGGGCCTAACTGTACTCCCATCGAAGTCATGACATTATACTACAGCACTGTCAGGTATAGTATATTATCTAGATAAGAGAGAGAGACTGTACTTGCAGCCTTCCCCCCAACCCCCCACCCCCCACCCCTCCACGTGTGTAACAAAAAAACCCTTCAATCTTATTATATGGCCTATTTAGTCGTAAGAGGGACTATGCCCAAATGATATTTACTTTTTTCAAATGGCTGAAATGTTGAGGTTTGAAAAAAACCTGATGCAAATGTACAGTAATCTGATATATTTTAAAATATTTGTATTAACGTTGTAACAGCTGCATTCTATGCACTGCTAAGATATGTTGTGCGGTACACACAAAGAACTTTGTACCACCTGTCATCTTCTACTGGATCCAAATTTCATGTGTTTGGAAGGACTTTAATATGGATGTAAATGGTAGACAGAAGAGTTCTGCATAGTCTTTCTGGCAATAAATTAATGTACAAAATAAGACATTTTACCTTTTAATTTCTAAATTAATTTTTAAAATAAATATGGATTCTTCCAGGAATTCTAGTTTTGTGCTGGCTGAACTTAGTGGAGTATTTGTTAAGGGAGGGGGTAGAATGAAACAGGAGGTACAGTGTGTTAAGAGCTACAACAGTCAAGAAGACTGTTTGTGTGAGTGGCAGTTGTAATAAACTTACAGGACCTAGAATAGCACCAGACAGCAGGGAAAGGTGGACTGATTGGAGAGGAAGTGGGAATGGCTAGAGAAGTGATTTGGAGGGAGAATTGACTTGTGTTTGATGGCAGCTAAGATCACCACAGTTCAGGCCAGGCAGGTTGGGCACAGTTGGGAGATCGAGGAAGGATTGGGAAAGGAAGGACCATATTGAGTGGCTCAGGTAGATTAGGGATTTCAAAATAAAGCAGGAGCAGGAACACTTACAGAGAGGTAAAACAGCCTGTGATAAGATTTGGGTTGCCGGAAGGGCTGCAACATGTTGATCAGAAAGTGAGATCAGCACTCGGCTAAAAAGACACATCAAAACTAGAGTTGCGCTGAGGAGGTGGTGTATAGATGTGGATTAGGTTGAGATTTCATGCCAAATCATAGTTTGCATACAGATTTGATAGTGCTGAAACCGATATTATAAGATTTCCACCATCTTGAATAAGATTTTGTGCACAACCAAACCAGAATCAGAGAATAGCCTTCTTCTGGTTTTGGATTCAGTCCAAAGCCAAAGTCAGTGGGGCATATTCGGAGCTGGAGTTTCAAATCCAAAACTCCAGTGAAACATAAAGGCTTTCAGTTTCTGAGATTTTGGTTTTGATCTTTGTTTAGTCATAAATAACAAGTAAAATATTGCTGAAATACCTACTTGCAGAATAAACCATAACGGCCAAATACTCAAATATTTCATTCATATTTGGGTTGAATTTTAAATTCAGCTGTAAAGGAATAAAAGAAATATCATTAAACCCTCAAAATATGTGCATGAACTGTTTAAAACCCAGAAGAAAAGATATTTAGACTCCAGCCTGAACTCCATCCATAACTCATCCCCCAATTTCCTTGTCACTATTCTGTTCCTTTTTGTGGTTTCTCCTGTATCCTCCTTTCTGCCAGATCTCTCCAGATAGGGACCTTTCATTTCATAACATAGGATTTTAGGATTCCTAAAGCATTCATTACAGCCACACCTTATTAAACTTAAACTTCCACAGTAGAACTGAAGGGCAGCTGCAACTAGGCGATACAACATTAGCACAAGCTCTGGTCATTCATTCTAAGACTCTTGTTCAAGTAGTTTTTATGTCTGACCTTTTCTCTTCTTGCATTATGTCATTGACTACAAAATAAAAGAGAACAGATTAAATTCATAAAAGCACAGCTTCAGTTTTCCTGGAAGTTAAGATCCTTCAATCCTCCTCAAACATTTTTCTGCTTCCGACTAGATTTCCTTTCCACTGCAATGGTCTGTCAATGAGAGTATCCCATCTACCCAGAGCCTTAGCTCACAACAATTTTCTTGCCTGCCATCCCGTACACATCATACATCACCACATCTCATCTGTGGTTTAAATATATTTTTATGCTCAGACTATTAGGTCTTTATAGTTTTTGTACTGCATCACTCTGTCTCTTTCTCTCACCCTTCCACACAACACATGCTCTTCTAAGAGGTAACAGTTGCCCCACTTTAAGTTAGCTCATGGGCACAACTGACAGGCTGCTCAGGCTCCAACTGTGTAGTTTATTCATGCTCTGGTCACATACTACATCACCTCAGTTTTACAAATGATACTGAAGAACAGGTATAGTAAGACAGCTTCTAGTTATCTACATGTATATGCACATTAGCATGGCCTTTAGGCACTGAATAACAATATTAAATATATTTAGTAATTACTAATTGATGTTTTGTATATTTTTACAGTCGCACAGTTGAACAACACTAAGCTTATAATTTGACATTTAGAAAATGAAAACCAGGCTGAATATACTGTTTGATTTTATTTCAGTATTCTGAAATCTAAGTTGTTTGGTGGTAGGTCTTTACCCAGTGTATGCACCATATGTTGTGTCTGTATGTCTTCCTATTTCATCATGCTTTTCTGAATTTTGTCCCATGGCATCATGCTGACAAGTATTTCTTGTCAGCTCTATTTTGGAATTAAGCTTTAAGCATGGCAGCTATGGAAGGTGTTGAAGGCATTCCAGTACTATTTGTGGCCTGGAATCAACCAGATGTGTTTTAGGGTTGGCATTGGTTTTGAGTTTCAAACATTGGTTAGAAACTGCCTGAAATGCCAAAAGAAATACTGTATTCTGCAGCTGAAGAGTACTTTAGCATTCAATGTGTAGCTGACATCTCATGGAAAACTTTTGGAAAAAAACTCTACTTAGAAACACTTCTGCTTATATGACTTTTTTTTTTCTATTTGCTCATATAGGACAAACCGTCCAGTCCTTGAAGTCAATAGGAGTTTTTCCTGAGTAGGGCTTGAGGTTTTGGGCTCTTCAAATTGTAATCATCTTTGTTATCACAGTTGGTTGCTGTGTATGTGATCATTATGGATCCTGGTCCCTTTGTCCATGGCAAAATTCTCCTTGACTTCAAGAGCACTAAGTCCTATGTCACAAACCTTTCTGTTATTGTTGCTTTTAATATTCTCAATTTATATTATGTACTGAGTCCAGAGTGTTTGGTGCTGTACAAATATAGAGGAAAGAATATTCAATTTAAATCCAACACAGGCAGTTCAGACATATAGCTTACTTAGGCAGAAGGTACAGTACAATGTCAAAGTTGTGCTGATGTTTTGTTTTATTTCAGGGGTGGAATAAGAAGCAGTATTTGTTTCTCTATAGTTTGTTAGATCCTGTTGCATACTCCCCTCCTGAAGTCAAAATCATGTGTTTGTGACATAACAATCAATTTCGTAGCAACTAACTGTGATGTCACAAAGGTATGACGATGACTTCCCATTAAGCATAAGCAGCATGCATAAATACATCATTAAGAAAGAAATGTCTTCTTTGTATGATAATATCCTGAATAATAAAGAAGAAGGGAAAATAAATACTGAATGTATGAGATACAGTCAGCAGAATTATTTATAAATGGGATATTTGTCAAACATTTTCATGGGTGTCAGCTGCTCTCTAAAGCTGCCAGTTTTCCATTGATGTTCTGTGAGTCATTTTCTTTATTATCCTTAGCTGTTTGAGCAAAATTACTACAATCAAAAAACATCCAAAAGTCAAAGTTTATGAAAGTTTTGGGGATTTTGTAATTTTGCTTTCTTTAAAGCATGATGTGGTGTTAAGTGACTGAATTGGAATACTGTATGTCTTATGTTTCTTTCCCCTTTTTTTAAAAAAAGAGGTCAAGAACACTTTCATTCAATAATCACTTTGTAATCTTGTGTTTTCTCCTAG